ATTTTTTTGAAAATTTTGGCCCATTTGACCTTGAAGTAAAGGTCAAAGGTCAAATCCAAGGGTATATTTGAAATCTTCACATATGACTTTTGGAAAGCCGTCTATAGAAATTTTTCCCATAACTCCTTCCGTAGGGTAGATAATTAGCATTTAATTTTGTCGTTTTTAGACAAGGGTGCATCGCAATGAGTGCCACACCCAGACCCCAATACCGACAAAGCCCAAATTTTACGTGGAACGAGTTGAGATTATAGGTGACCTAAATCCATGAGATGGGTACGGGGGCCCTTACCGTCTAGGAGGAGAAGCGGTAACGGTAGCCGTCCGGCGGAGCCGGTGGAGCCAACGGAGCCGGCGGAGCCGGCGGAACGATCCGGACGGGACCGAAACCATGTGTACCGCCAGCGCTAACGCTGGTGGTACAATTATAATTATAATTATAACGATAACACTTTCTACTTATTTATTTCAGCTCCATCGATCCCAATCGATTATGGTATTCAAATGTTTTGAATATCATAATTCATCAGTTTTTGTGTGAGCATAATAATGTCAGTAGTAACAATTATTAGAGATGGTATCTTATGATGAGAGAAAGTAGTAGTTAGAAGTGATATTAAAGAAACTTTATATATACAGCTGTATATGTACAGGGGAAAACTGAAAAATAACAAGACTCCGAAGTGTTCTCAGCTACAAGAGATCAGCATCTACTACTAGCTAGCTTGTTTCTAAATTTTATTTTTAAACCAAAATTTTTGGTTTACTTTGACTTTGTAAGATTCAGCAGAAGCCCATGAAGATAAAGCACTGCACCTAGATATTCAAAGAACGCAGGACTAATGTCTCCAAGCAACTAGTGAGCTATACTATGGAAGTAAAAAAAAATTGAAGTACATCATTTTTTTTCACTCTAGAGGTTTTGGACCAACAAGCAGGCTAAAGCTGCTCTATCTATTATGGTGAAACCAGGGTGGCAGCAACACATCTGGTGGAGTTATAATAAGAGAGAGAATATTCAGGAAAAATGTTCTCTGCAGCCTTACTATCAAATTATTTCCAGAGAGACTTTATGTAATGTTCAAATATAAATGAAGTTCTAAATTTCATAATTCTTGAATATGTAAATTGTGACATAGAAATAGTGTAGTATATCCTTCGTTCACAGGAATTTTTTTTATAATGGGAGAACAGTCAGTCTTCTTCATTCGAAAAAAGTATCAGTCTTTAATGTCAATGAAAAATATCCAACTGTTCATTTGAAATGTTTGCTACAATAAATGAAGTAAGTATCAGTAATAACAGTGCTGGGCCAAATTTAATTTTTTAAACTGCATTTTATATTGTTTTTCAATTTTAATAAGCTAAATTCAGCAACAACATTTGTCATGCAGAGAAGTGATTCAACACATAATTTATGCTTATGACAATTTTACACCACCCAGATGTTATGTAATCCACCAGCTTACTAATACTCAAGATATTTGGCAAAACTCTAATAGCTGAGAACACTTTCTTTTAGGCATTGCCAGTAAAAAAAGTGATTAGTTGACAGATGTGCTCAGGAATGTGACTGTCAAGGCTGAAAAGATTGAAAGAAAGGTGACAACGTATCTAAATGCAACTATCATGATTAAAAGTTAAAGAAAGCATTCACAGCACTCATAAGACTGCTTGCCTCTGGTTGATATTTTCGAACTGTAGATGGAGCTGTTTCAAGACACGCCTTCTTAGGGTGGTTGATTTCTTTTTCCTATATGAATATAGGAAATATGAATATTTCAGTGGTGCAAATACAAATATAGTCAAATGTGTTTTGGCACAAAACATGGGTAAGCAAAATGCATCAATCCAAGAACCATTATGTTCAACTTGATGCACACTCAATCACAAATGCACCCATATAAACAATGCATATACAAACCAACTGTATTGTCATTAGTAAAATATTATATTGTACAAGGTCATGATAATCTATGTACCAGTACATAAATAAATTGAATTGAAATTGAATATAAATGGCACAACACATACACACATATTAAACATGAAAGTAACACAAACCACACTAAAACACAAGCACACAGACAAACAAGCAGTCAAGCCTTTTTAAAAAATACCAACATACACAAAGGAAGAAAGAATTCCCATTTATGCTAGGTATACAAAACAGTTAAACCAGCATCTCACCCAAAAAGCATACTGTTTAATATGTAAACAACACACAAATACAGCATAACCACTTGTATACAAAATAAACACAAGGTAAGTTAATACAACTGCATGAAAATTATAGTGTCTCAGCCCAGTCAAGAGACAAGATTACCACTCCACTGTTATTTATCCCACTTCTCGCCCTTCCTTATAAAATGACCGTTAGATAACCCCATTATTTATTTCCTTTCTTAAAAACTACAAGTTAGATAACCCCACTATAATTTATCAGTGGGACACTTATATTATTGGCGACAAGATTTATGGCCAGAACAGGTCGGTGTCACAGAGTGATGATGAGATGAGAGTCTACTTCTTCCATATGACTCACTGTCAACACAGACTGGCGTATTTTACACTAGTACTGTCATCAGCATGAACTGGCAAACGTTGGGCAAATGTAGCCCTTTGTTTAAAAAAATATTATCTGGTTGAGATGAGAGAAAGAAAATATGGTTCCATTTGATTTTTTTTTTGGGGGGGGGGGGCATTTGCTTTCATTCTTGAAAGTTTATCTTGATATGAGAGATGAGCTATATCATATAAATGAGTCAAAAACTTCCTATATTTAAAGATTAGGGGCTTTGTCTGTGAGGTAAAGGAAGTCTTTCTCATCCATAGACAAAGAAATCACAGACAATATATTATACAAAATATATATGCCTAGCCAAGTTTCAACATCATCACAAAAGGTGCAGTGGGAAAGGGGGTATGAAATGTCATCTTCACAACTGTACTTTACTTTTCGGAATAGAAATTCACCTTTAAGAAACAGGGCACTTAAAAGTGAGTTGTATTATTGACGAGGCGGAGATGTCTTAACCACATGCTTAGCATTGATGACATGTAAAAAACATTTAAAACAGGAATAAAAACCACATTCAGTTAAAATAGAGCAGGATATCAACCCTTTGGAGTAGATACCATCTTAAGTAGTACTAGTAAGTGTTCACATTGAAAACAGAACGTCCCATCTCATTACCTTTTGTGGATCATCAGATTACTAAACTAAGCTCTTTATAGACAGATCACCTCACTATACCCATGGCATATATATCCCTCAAAAAGATGAAGTAGAAAAAAAAAAGAAATATTTACCTGCAACCTTAGTTTTGAACTTAGCTTAATCAAACAAATCACAGAGATAGTGATTAAGGTCACAGATACCTATAACTAGGGCATCAAACAAATGTAACACTGTGATGGGTACTTCCCAGGGAGAATCAGCCTATTTTCAATGTGAATCCGACTACTGTTTCTTCTAATTATAAACAATGAGGGCAGCATGCTTAGCCTAATCACACCAATGCTCTAGACAAAATTTAAATACTAGTAATTAAAAGATCCTGGTGCACAGATATATCTATAGATCATTGCTTCAACAGCCCATATTGAAGGCATTGTAGACAGAAGAATGGACCTATCTCCAATATGAACCCGACATATATGACACTACAAAATGTAAATCATTGCTTAGACATCAGCCCATATTGAAGGCATTGTAGAGAGAAGAATGGGCCTATCTCCAATGTGAACCCGACATATATGGCACTACAAAATGTGTTTTCCTACATGTTTAAACCATGAAAATAACACAGGTTGCTGAAAATGCCCTTTGTGTGGTATATATATAATCACAGTGAGTCATCTGGAAATAGCTACTTCACTCAGCATAAGAAACAAATCATCTCCAAAAGAAAAACATTCAGTATAATGGCTATGTGCAGGCATTCCAAAGACCTATGTGGTACTAGTAAATGAAAAGTGTGGGAATTATGGTTAAATTCTGCAGAAATTTATCGATTAAGAATGATGCAGAGGGGGAAACAAGAAAACCTTGAGTCATGAATTTGATATTTCATATTCCACTAATTTTGAACCTTGGTTTTTCATGAATGTGTTCCATTAGGAAGCTGTAGAAGGTAAAAACTGTCCAAACATGCCTAACACATTTTCACACCTCGAAAAAATGTCACACAAAACACACTCATATCTAACACACTAGCATGCTTACACACTGTCACACCTAACACACTGTCACATCTAACACACTGTCACATCTGTCACAATAGCATGCCTAACACACTGTCACACCTAACACACTGTCACATCTGTCACAATAGCATGCCTAACACACTGTCACATTGAATACAGTGGGCATAAACTTACCTTGTGACAGGCAGTATATGCATGGTTGTATTCTCTTCAATGACCTCCTCATCAATCCAACCTTCATCTGCTTCTTGGGACTGATTGTCTGATCCTTAAAAAATAAATTAAGATATTCGAATATCCAATATAAGACAAGTAATAATAAAGGATACAAGACTGCTCAATATCATTATTGGCTCTAGGAAGTATTCTAACCTTCAAACAATAATGCTACAACCTGATATTAATGCTTGCTACAAGGGAGTGTTCCCATAAACCAATCTTACTACCTGGATTGCTAAAACTCTCCGGGGATTCTCACTAATCTGCATTCAATGTAAGTGGCTTAAAGGCCTACTCAAGCTGCTGGGGGTAATTAACGCTAGTCAATTACCCCCTACATATTCAAGATGACCTGCCAGACAATTAGGATTATTACACTGAAAGCGAGAAGCCCAGCAGAGAGAGATCCATTCAGCTAGTATGATTAGCTTATGAGAAAAAGTCCAAGGCTCTATTCCCATAGATTTTAGATCGATCTATCCCTGCGGGGAGTCTCACAAGATTACTTTCAGATAATCCGACTTAAATGTCCGTCCCGCCTACTACAAGCTGTAAGGGGATAATTAACTTTCGTGTCCGCCCGGCTGACAGCTATTTAGCGTGAACCCCCAGGGAGTTAGGTCAATCTAAAGTAGGTTGATCTAATCTATGGGAACGCAGTCCAAGTCTACATGATGAAACATACAATAATAATACTCACCGCTGTCCTTTCCTCCTGGGGCAAAGGTGGCTGTGAAGGGCCGTCCATCATCTGAACATGCACTTGACCAACTGTCTGCCCTTTCTCTATCCATGGTGAGGGGTAACCTCCCATTCCTGGACTGGACCTCCTCAGGATTGGACCTCGTGGGGAATGTCAACACCACATCGTCATAGGCATAGCTATTGTCTCTGGGAGATCTATTCACTTGGTGTGGTTTTGGCAACACATGGAATGTTTTGGATTCTCTTTTATTATCACTGTCTCTCTGGCTCTCCTTTGCTGGTTGAGTAGTTGTTTTTGATTTGTCTTTGGAGTGGCTGGAATGTTGGTGACTAGGTGGAGCTGTGATGTCATTGTTTTTGGTTGTGATGTCACCACTTTTGGTTATGATGTCACCGTTTTTGGTTGTGATGCCACTGCTTTTAGACGTGATGTCATTAGTCTTTGTAGGAATGTTAGGCTTTTGAGCAGCACCCTGAAGAAACTGTTCTTTAAGCTGACTAACTTGGCTTACTCTAGGATTTCTAGAACAATCTCCCATATCTGTCAAAGAGTTTTTCTGAGTATTAGAAGCTCCTGAACTGTCAGAACTTTTCCTCGAAAAATCACTTATTCTTGCTTTGATGTCATTTCCATTTGGCTTAGGTCTTAAAACAGGTTTTTCTCTCACTGCTGCAGCACTGCTTTTATTTTCCTGACTCTGAAATTTTTCAACAAGCTTGGGATCTAGAGATATATTTAGTTTTGCCTGAGTTAAGGGCTCTTTCTTGTGCAGTGAGTTCCTGGGCTTTGCAACAGGAACCCTTTTCATGCCAGAAAACGATTCGTGTGTTTCTTCCTTGTGTGTAGTGTGGAAGTCAGTAGAATTTGACACAGCTCCAACCTGATTACCCGAACCTGCAGGTTTCACAATTTGTTGTGCTTGATTCAACACAGATGCCAATTGGAATTTATTTTTAAACTCTGTCACTGGTGATGTAACCCTTGGTTTTTCAGGGTCAGAAGACCTCGATGCTACTTTTCCTCTTCTAACTGAAGGCTTGGGACCAGAACTGGACCCATTAGAGATCCCTTGATTTGCTGCAGAGCTCTTAGTATTCACTGCGGTCCTGCTCTCAAATTGTTCCTTTATTCTTTCCAGCGAACTCCTGGCAGAGTCTCCCTCAAACATTTCTTTAATCTCTGTAATGCTGCATCTTTTTTCACCGTCTGCCTGTGCATTGTTAGATTTGTTATCAGTGAGTAACCTGAAATGAGAATTAATATCAGGGCTCAAAGTACTGGCTGAATACAAAAACATGTCACTGCAAAGAGTCACTGATCAAATGTTTGTTGGTATCCAGTGCACTGCATCATGAAAGCATGAAGGATCAAATTGTTTCCTTTTAGAAAGGAAAAAAATGTTTAAATTTAGTGATATGTATAAAATGATCTACTTATTTTTCCTCCTTCTTTTGTGAAGATGTTTTTGTGAAGAAAATTCTGTAAATATAACCTATTACAGAATTAAAAAAAAGAAAAACTCATCCCAATACAAATAGGATATAAATTCAAGCAATAGCTTTACAAAGCAGCATGCAATGTAACACTCTTTTCAATTATCTTTCAGAGCTTATACAATCACAACCTATAGATAAATATTCAGTCTTGTTATGCATGGCAATGAAGTACTGGGAGCACTTGATAAAAACAAAATATTAGATAACAGTGTCAGTGCATTGTCACATGTAATTTTTATAGGTTACAAAGTGTGTGTCTGTGCATTGTATTTTTATCTAAATCTGCATGCCCCTGATATTTACTTCATTGTGCAATATATAAAAAGTCAGGGGAGTATACCAGGAAAGAGCCATTCCTTTAATTTTCAATCATTTCATCCAAAAGCCAAGAATATCTTATCCCCCCACCCATCCATCACTTTTTAAAAGGCAAATTAAGTGTCCGTCCTACACCCTTAAGCTCCACATTATTGATAACATTGATAACAATGACACCCACATTACTAGTACCTTACTTCTGAAGTTCATATACCTCTGTTATGTTTTTTTTTTTTTTTTTTGTACTTGTTCAAGTGGAGGGAGGGGGTCAGAATTGGCCAAAAAATGTTTTGCCCCTTCCCTACACAATATCCCATAAATCCCTGTATCCTTTTGCCAGTAACAAGAAGCAAAATAAATAAATAAATAAATAAATAAATAAATAAATAAATAATTATCATTATTTTTTTTTTACAAAAAGTTTTACCATACCTTGGTTTGGGACTGATGGGAGGCCTGCTATTCCTTTTATTTCCTCTATTACCAAGTCCTGCTTGGTTCAGCTTAGCAATAAACACAGGGTCAAACTTAAACTCCATCCCCTCCACCGTATTATTAACTCTCCCCGGTTTTGGTTTCAGTGCTGGTTTGGATCCCCCTGGAGACGGAGAGGTCACATGACCAGGCGGAGACATGGGACTGGCGCGCTTTCCGTGGTAGACGTTTTTGGAGCGTATGGAGTGGGAGACGTACTGGTAGTTCTTGCGTCGAGAGCGCAGCCTGGAGTGAGGAGGTGTGGACGGGTGACTGGACGCCTCTGACATACTTCCTGATGAGAGAGATGATATGCTGTAGCTAATCATAAATTTCAAACACCCTAGTATTTCCAAAGATCTTATCAGATCAATTTTCATAATATGTAGGTTCCCACTAAACTCTGTGATTTCTGTGTTCTTATTTTTCGAATAAAACTTGTTGTAGTTATGCCCAAGATAGTTTTGGAAAAAGAACATTTATCTGTTGTACAAATTTACTGGACGATTACCATACATGTATCATGTGCACCTGAGATTCAGAGCAGAGATAACTTAATGATGTGACTGAAACTATCAGCCACACAGTACTGAGTGTATACATGATAATAACATATCATAAACAACCTTGAAATAAACTTCAGAATTTCAATGATGTCCATTCTTATGTGTCCTGAAGAACAAAATACATACCCCCGTAAATGGATTTCAGGAGACAATCATACTAATATGAATGGAAAAGTAATGCCTTTAAACGGTGTATTGTAAATAATAAACAAAAGGAAAGAAAATTTAATCTGTTCTTGCATGCATTTCCTCATAGAATAGCCGCAGTACTAAATGTATGGATGTTATGACAAAACAAGCCGGGTTGGTCACAACATGACTTAAAACAGAAACTCAGTCCCGACTTTTACACTTAAATTTTACTCTTCACTCTCATGGCAGTCAAATACTAGTAGATCAGAATGGTTATTGGTCTTAAACTGATGTGACATCCTTTGCTACAAAACAGGCAGAATTCATCCTGGGTTCAAAGTCAAATAAAATACTAACTAAAAGTTAAGACCAACACTCGATCCAAATTTCTTTTGTGACACAGGCCTCGCATGCACAGACATGAAAGACTTTATTATTACACAACAGACTTGGCTTATTTCCTTTTAAATATATTATACATGTTGTATACTTGCATTGTTTTCTCCTTGACATATTTGATTTACAATCCTCTGGAAAGGTGTATTGGGTGAAAAACCCATTATGTTCTTAACCTGCCCAGCTCCCCCCCCCCCCCCTCCCTTTCATTCCACACCTTTCTTTCAAATTACTAGTATTATATACATACCTGTGTATCATAAAAAATCAGTAGAGAGCTATGGAAAGTGACTGTCATATTACATATATTTATAAAGTCAATATGTTTTTAAACCTTGCCTTATCATCTTAAATAAACAAAATAGATAACGGATAGCTAGCTTCCCTATCATGAGATAAGCAAAGAGAAATGGAACACGAATATAATATATATATATATATAGTAAATGAAATATGCAATTTCACATTGACTCATACACAAACTAAATCAACCCCCTACCCCCAAGCACTCACCTTTTTCCCCAATATAACAAAATAAATGTCTGTATGCCCCCCCCCCCACCATGAAGGCCCAGCTCCAACGCTAATTTACAATCAATAGATAGAAAGGCAGTAAGACCTAATTGCCATTCACACTAGCAAGTAAACAGTGTTAACTCCACTAGGATCGCCTTCCTAATTAACGGTCTCTTTATATCATACCATGCCATTATACCTTTACATTTTGTGAATAATTTTTACAATGTTTATTGCTTTCATTGTTATCACTTTTTAAAAATTTTATTTTGATGTAATTCTGTAATCATAAATCAATCTAATATTTCACAGTAATTTTTGCAACTGATAATGTAGCCAAAGAGGCATAACTCTAAAGCTACACAATCACTTAATGTCAAATCCCCTCTTCAATTTTGCACATTTTTAACCAACAATTAAAACACTAACAGTGTTTGGTGAAAATGTTATAATACAATAACTATCATGCAAATAAGCATGTGACCATCAAATTTATCCAAATTTAGTTACATCAATCTGTTAACTTAAAATGCAGTACTATAGTGAAATATTCAACATATATATATATTTAACTACTACTGTGCACAAAAAAATGCTTGGAAAAAAAAAGAGGAAGAGTCACGGACCTCAGTATCTTGAGCACTGGAGCAAGAAGACATAAACAATACCACAGGAAGCATTCACACCATGCCAAAAAAAACGAACCAGTATTTGAATCTAAATCCAAACCGATAACATTTAATTCATTCCTTGATCTCTCTAACTCTTTCTCTTCTTCTCTACTCTATTTTTCTTCACTCTTTTCAGCCAAATACACTTCTAAATATTTTATGTATTTTCTGTTCTGAACATCATATGATCATTTAATGAACTATTTCACTATATATAAACTTGACTCATTCAGATATTTGCAAGTTAAGTACTTACTAGTATATATCAAAGAATATTGGGAACAAATTGCAACATACATCCCACAGGAACTTCCAATTAAAAAAGCAACGCAATACGCAACTTATTTTGTAACATCTAAGGATCTTATTTCCACCTTACTCAAAAATATTGAGCATGCCTTATCATTACTACAGTGTATATAATTGTTAGGAAATAGACTTTTATGAAAGAGTTAAGTTTTGAAAACTATGAACCCATTCCCAGAGATTAGATCAATCCAAACTAGATAGACCTAACTCCCTGGGGGTTCATGCTAAATAGCTGTCAGCCGAGCGGGCACGAAAGTGAATTACCCCCTTACAGCTTGTAGTAGGCGGGACGGACATTTAAGCTGGATTACCTGACAGTAATCTAGTGAGACTCCCCGCGGGGATAGATCGATCTAAAATCTATGGGAATACGCCCTATGATTTTCTGAAGTAGAAGAAAACAGTGGCTGAGCATATTCTCTCTCTCTCCTCCCTGAACTGCTCTTGGTTAATTGCCCTATGTCAACCACCATTTGTTAATTGGTGGATGTCAATTGCTACATGTTACTTTTATGAAAATGTGGAAGAACCAATAAAATTTAATATCAATATACAGAATGATCCATCTGCGTCCTGAGTGAACACACCCAATGACTCAGATTGCTACCAGATGTGATAGAGAGCCCAAGAGGCATCATTAGCCTAAATATCATTAATACTACATCTCTTCACGCTCTGTCTTACACATGAGAAACCAAGGGCATACACAGACAGCAGGGACCCAATTCACAAAATAATTTTAGATCGAAGGTTGGTCCCAAATTTAAGACTTAAATGAATGTTCAAAGTGCCTGTTTACAAAAAGAAGGAAATGCGCCTAGCTAATAAAATATTTATTTTATAAAATAATTTACTATCAAAATTTTACTATAAATTTATGCAAAAATAAATTGGACTGAAATGTTTGGTCTAAAGTTAAAGTTCGGACCAATTTTTGGTCTACAGTTATTTTAAGAAAACACACCAGGGTTGTATTAAGGCTATCTAACAACAGTTTTTTTTTTCCCTTTTTTTTTGGGGGGGGGGGGGGACAGGAAATCCAGCTCCATCCTCATAATTTAATTACTGTACTTTTTTAACTAGGCCCATGTTAACAACTTTAAATGCAATAGCAGGCAGTGAAATGTTCAGAATACATCATCCAGATCAATGGCTCAGCATTCACCAAAACAAAGCAAAAAACGTGTTTAAAAGAGAATGCTTGCTCTTGATATCTGTTACATGATATACGGACATAAATATTTAGACCCTGAACAAAGAAGCTTATTCTCCCCTTGTTGTCTACTCCAGACAATGACAAAATCAGCTGTCAGAACCATATCACATTTACAGTATAAGACTGACACTGTTTTTAGTCAAATTACAAGTATTGGATTTTTTTTTCTTTGCTTCACAAATGTTTCATGCAGCTACTGTATTACAACGACTTATCACATCCCAGTAATGTACTTACTAGTAGCTGCACGAAACAGTTGTCAAGCAAAAAAGGCATACAAAGTGAATTTATAATCACATTCAAACTCATTTGTGACTTGTTTTGTACTCTGTCAGACTATAATAAACTGAATTTCAGAATATTTACCAGACATAGTGAAAACTTTGTGGAGGCATTGAAAGTCATGAGGATCTGCACTACAAGAAATCTGCAGGTCCTCATTAGTCTCTGTTTGTATCATCATGTGATTCGTTATTATGCATTGTATTTCCCATAAAATTTGTTACTGTTTACATTGCCGTGTGCTCAATTACTGTGCACTGTATTTTTACATTAACTTTGTTAGTTAAGAGAACCTGCGATATCAAAAATCTTGCAGTTGCTGTGGTATTTCAAGTAGTCATGACCGGCTGGACAGGCGATTTCACCATGCCTGACTTTACCCAGCATTTTCTCCTTCATCCATAGTTTTAACCCTTACAATGACCCTCCTCTATTTCTCTACCATCCACAGTTCAAAAAGAATGATGATTGCCCTCCTTCCCTCTCTCTCTCCCCTCAACCTCTCTAGTTTATATCCTTTTTAAGCATCAATTAAAACTAACCAGATGTTTCTGGCTGTACAGGTGAGTCTTTACAGGCTGTCAAACCCAAGGCCAGCTCAGTCACTGAAGGATAAAGTACTGTATAATATATTATAAAATAGAAAAAAAAATCCCTACCCCCTGAATGACTTTTGTCATGATTTTGATATCCCTATAGCCTTTGGATCATGCTGGATAACAAGAAAAGGAGAAAGAATCTTACTTGGTGCATATTTAGAATCATTTGTCTATCTCTATCCTTAGGTACTTCTTTCAAGTTAGGTAAAGCAATGGACCATTCTGCATTTTTTTTTTTTTTTTTTGGAGGGGGGCGGGCATTTGAAACTGACATTTTCCTAATTTTCTCCAGGTACAGAAAATGTGCACAGAATAAAGCAGAGATATATGTGTGAATAAATAAGTGAAAAAATCTCAATGTGGCCCTGCATGGTTAAAGGCAGGTATGATCCCCCTTTGTTTTACTGAGACTAGTGCTGGCCTCTGGGGGACATAAATGGAGGAACCAATTACTGCATTTATCATCATTTACTAGTACAGGTGTTTTACAGTATGTCTATAATGAAAGGACTAAAAGCACTCTTTATACTGTATACTACATTGAGGTGATAAATTTCAATTTGTCAGCTACTTAATCTAAATGGTTTCCTTCCTGTTATTTGCACATATACTTTATATAGGTAACTTGCATCCTCTTAGACCCCATTCCCACAGACTTTAGATTGATCTATCCCTGTGGGGAGTCTCACTAGATTACTGTCAGCTTAGCCGGCTTAAGCATCTGTCCCGCCTACTAAAAGCTGTGAGGGGGTAATTAACTGTTGTGCGCGCTCGGCTGACTGCAATATAATGTGAACCCCTGGGAGTTAGGTCAATCCGGATGGATCGATCTAAAGCTCTGGGAATGCACTCTTAAACATCACATTTACTAGACTAGTAATAGTAATATGTACTTTAACTGCAGGAAGTCGTTCTGTTGATTCTATATTACATTATAAGAATTCAAGCCACCACAAACAATAACAATACAAGCACATAGTTACATTAGGTTCAATGCAAGGCTTGAAGCCATCACAGAAATAACTGGGACAACTCTCTCAAACATTTCTTAGATTATGTACAGTAATGTGAATCCTGGTATTTTCAAAGGTCTAGAATGAAATAAAAACTCTATTCACTATATTTTATTCCTTCTTATAAATGGTCTGTAAGCACCGAACGGAATTATACGGAAATAAGTGTCTAGGCCATTTTGTAAATAAACCATTACGCACACTAAAGTTCACACACAAGACGTAGGCCTACAGACACCTGTTTTGATGATCGGTAAAAATGTCCTTTTTTTACGATCTGATAAACCTACCTGCGTTGTCAGTAAAACATTAAAGCATCGTGAAGTATTTGGTGGTGTGAAGCGTAAATCTTATCGGTTCGCTCTCGCTAAAAAGACACCGATAAAAGTATAATTGCTCCATGTAAACTTAGTCATCCATTGACCTTCCTGAAGTTCATAGCACTTGTCCAATGTCACGGCGTTACATATTTTATGCGGACCTATAATATTTACTATGCAGCAGGTACTCCGTACTCCGTAGCGTACTCCGTGTGTATTGCGTGTTCTCACCCAACATGTACCTAATTATGCGTATTAGGTACACCGCGTGTGGGTGTTCTCGGCTCTGCTCGGATGTCTCGTGCACTCGTATGGAGCGTAGCGGAGTCAGCCGAGGATTGCCGATTGCTTGTAGAAGGGACTTTTTCATGTTAACTAATTTCATGTTAAGTGCGTAGTTTTTGGCAGTGTCAAAATGTCAATGTTTTCTATCGTTTTCAGGTTCGTGGGATTTCTGGAAAAGGTAGGCGATAGGTGAAATTTCATCTACTTTGTGTGGAAGCACCACGTACATATTATATCTCACTGTAGGTTATAACTTATGTTTTTGGTTTCGTTAGTTTGTCTGTCTGACTCACGCTCGGCTGTCACCCATTACAGTGACGTCATATTTGCTCCGTAACACTAGTCCAGCGGCCATACTGGAGGGAAAGAACGACGGGGAATAGTAGAGTAAATATAGGTGAACCAAATAAAATGAAATAATCTTCATATCGCGATCAAGTGCACCAAAAGGAAAAGTGTATATACATGTGAAAACTTCAGCTAATCAGCGTGATCGACCCATATAAACTCAAGACAGTCCAAAGACGTGAAATCCTGACCTACCCCTGTATCCCAACATCGTGGAATTGTCAGAAGCTAGTTCAGTTATCTTGTACTTCATTTTTCTTGTTCATTGGATAATAACAGTTTAAGTTTTAGAGAGTTTACTGTGTAATCATAATTTCAACCTTTCATAGAAGCAACTTTTTACATAAAGGATAGATATAAGGAGAAATTTGAGCTGACCATCGGGATCAACCCTTACGGACTCAAAGAAGACAGTATGCAGGGTTGTGACAAGAAATGACGTGGTCTGACTCTGTCTGTTAGTAACATTTTCGAAAAAGTTATGGGCCAATTAATTTTGATGAAATTTTCAGGAACTGTCAGAAGTGGGCCAAGGAACGGATGATTTGTTTTTGGTGGTGATCAGGATCATTATCAATCAATAATAAAAAAAAAAAAAAAAACTAAATCATTATAGAATGAAAATTTAGGGGTGAAATGGCATGTTGGAGACTTTGCTGCCTTGGCGGAGCTTTGCGCTCTCGAAGTGGTTTTTCTAGTTAATACTGAGGAAAGGATTGAATGGGATGGGTTCACTTCCCCCTGGTAATTAATTCCTTCATACATGTACATGTATATAGATTGACCAGTTTCTATATAATCTAGCAATTTGGGAGGAGAAAACAGACTCGACCAGGATTTGAACCCCAGACTTTCTCAAACAGTGCGTCTGCTCTTCCAACTGAGCTACCGAGCCAGTAGCACGAAAATGCATGCGGCAACACTCCTAGTGACGATTCTGATATATATATACTACACAGCCATATGTAATGCACAGCCATATACAGAACCAGTACATATCAGAATCGTCAATAGGAGTGCGGACACATGCATTTTCGTGCTACGGGCTCTGTAGCACAGTTGGGATAGCACAGTTGGGAGAGCAGTTGCACTGTTTGGCTGTGCAGTATACATATCAGAATCATCAATAGAAGTGCTAATGCATGAATTTTTGTGCTACTGAGCTGGCGTCACATGTACAGCCCTTTTTGACCGATTGTACACACAGCAGATGCATGTATGAACTGAGCCAACCTTGCCTGGCCAGTACCATAATTATAATACTTGTGTTCATCAGCTTGTCAGTAGACAAGTAGCTCCCCTCCCCCTCCCCCTTTTTTAGTGCCAGTGGTAACAGAGTATACGTACCCTTAGGTTACTGGTACAGAGTCACTGGAGAAATCCTCTCAACCAAAATATAATAAATTTAGATAAAACAGACAACAATCCTGCTTCCATAGTTTGATGTTAGTTTTAAAAACCTTTTTTTCAAAAATATGATAGGCTTGTAAGTCAAATGGTGGTAAAAAAGTAATAAAAAGATGAAAAGATTAAAAAGATAACTTAATTAATTGCTAATAGACAGCAGGAATTTTCAATATGGTACAAAGACATATTGACCCTTATAACTTCTCTTTTGTTAATTTTCAGCTCCTCAGAGCTCGATGGAAGAAGAGGCTTCTCTTGGTTCTCCTGACTTGCGACCAGATAATTCATGTTGGTGGTCTTCAGTGTGGGGTTGGTCAGACAGAGGTTATACCACACGACAGCATTCAACCAGTATGCTGTATGGACATAACTTGTCTACCAGGTAGGTCTGTGTTCTCTCTGGCCCCATTCAGAATGAGAAGATCGATCAAAGTGCTGACTGGTCCTTGGCTTAAATATGGCTGAATGACATGAAAGGAAGACCACTTAATCCTGGTCTCTCCGCCTCTCACATGCCACCCCACACATCGTCCCTGCAGGAGCAAAGTACTAGTAATTAAATCTCAGCTCAATTCGACCGATTGAGAGACAACACGTGGGGAGGCATGTGAGAGGTGGAGAGGCCCTTGCAGGATTAACTTAAGCAGTCTTCCTTTCATGTAGGGTCTGCCATATTTGGAGCCTTANCTGCTTATGACATATCCAGTGCATTTTACGAAGTATAGACATTTATCGTTATTATGGCAGTATTAAGAACAAGTACTACCCCCATTAGCTACATGAATTTGTAAATAGAATGTTTAGTGCTATTGTTTTTATCAGCATATATGTACACTTTCCAACCTTAATTTTCAGGGACCCAAGCCGAACCCTGCAATGCAGGTGACCCATCATCTTCCAGCTGTATCCCCTGTCCTGAAGGCCAATATCAGACCCGGCAAACTACCCTTAGTGACCGCTTAACTTGTTCTGTGAAGTGAGTTTGTAGACTGTAACAAAATCATGATTGTGGGAAGATAGAATTTAGAAAACTGATGAGCACTGTGCTTGTACTGTATAATCAGGGGCGGATTGAGGCCATCTTCTAGGTCTTCCGGAAGATGGTCAGATTTTCAAGTTAACATTGACGGTAACTATTTTTTTCTGTCAGAAGACAGGCTAAAATGGTGGACTGATCAACAAAGAAAATTTGGAAGACTGTCAGAATATCACTGGATCTGCCCCTGATAATGACAATTAAAAAGGATTCAGCTTTTTTACATATGTTATTTTCTGACAGTCTTCCAAATTATCTTTGTTGATTCACCCTCTAATTTTGACCATCTTCCAACATGAAAAATTGGATATCCGTCAATGTAAACTTGAAAATCTGACTGTCTTCCGGAAGACCCAGAAGACGGCCTAAATCCGCCCCTGTATGTGCAGTATAAGAGACAAGAGAAAAAGGGTGGGTGAAAAGGGAATGGGGGAGGGTTGACTGATGCTTGTACTGTCCTACATCTTGTAAGACAACCATTAGATTTAGATACTTCATCTATGATTTAATCATAAATTATTTAAAATCATTTATAAATGTGGGATGCACAGTATAAATTCCCACAGCAGTAATAACTGTTTAAATTGACAATGAATTCATATTAGGTAAATAAAGATTAATGATTCATGTTCATTTTCTTTCAGCTTGAATTGTACGCAGAGCCACAGGGAATATGTCACTAGAGGAAGCTCTACCACTGAGTCAGTATGCGGGACATGCCTGGTGGGATATAAAGAAACTGCTATCGGAACATGCATCAAAAACATGTGCCCTATTGGACAGGAACCTAAAGGAAATGGTAGGAATTTTTTTTTTCGTAATCCTTTTTTCATATATCAAATTTCTTAACACATATAAATTGGATATTTAATTAACTGCCAACAAATTTTAACAAATTTTTCATTCATTGATTTATTGAATAATTTATATGTTTGAAATATCAGAAATCCAATCTCTGTACTGGCAGAATATGGGTAACAATACATGAATCAGAAACAGAAAGGAGGGTCAGTGATGCCCTTAACTTATAACCCTATTCATTTCCTAAAGGACATTAATAAAGGACTTAATGGGACTCTATAAGAATTCTATTGGATGGCATATAAGATTTTTATCTTCAAGATTTGTCCTTTTGGAATCTTTTGGATTTGCAGCACATTTCCTGTTTCACGTCTTCTCCTATGGGATTTGGGACCAATTTCCTGTAGGACCCTGTAGTGTTTGGGACCAATTTCCTATAGGATTGGGGACCAATTTCCTGTAGGACCTATTAGTAAATTTCCACAAGGGAAAGTAACCATCTCTCTTGACTTGTAAACATACAAAAATGTTAGACCTGTTCTAGAATAACTATTGAGTGTAAGTAATGTGACATTATAAGTTGTCTTTAGTGTGATTTATGATCACTGTATTCCTTGTAAAATAACTAGCCCAAGAGGTACATAGTGAACAAGTGTATGCCAAAGTAAATAAAAATTAAAAAAAAAAACAAAGAAAAAAGAATGTTTTCAGCGCCTGTGGCCTACATACTGCTAATAATTTGAGTAAATAAATTTGTCCACATCTGGTGTTTTATATTTGCCAAGCAAAACAAATGCCAGTTTTTTTTATCCTTGTCCCCCCCCCCCCCCAATCATCTGGCAAAATGTTGGCTCTACTTCTGTTTCCATCTTCATTTCCAATAAACGTACAGTAATATTCAAAATGTCTCTTTCTGTTACATGTACTAGGGTATTTGTGATATTTGGCTGGATTTTTATCTGAGATATTAAGTTCAAAATTACACTTTTTCAATGAATGAGATTCAGTTTTACCTCACAATTACTGCAAATAAAACTATAAGTGGCACATATATTTTAGGTTGCCAGTGGTGTGGTACGGGTAATTTTTCAGCTGAAGAAGATAATAAACCATGCAAAAGAAGAACAATGTAAGTAAATTAAGTGGACACAATTGTTTTCGTATGGTAGTGAGAACTGATTAAAATGATTTTAGACATTAGTTTATATATATATGTCTGTTATTCAAAAATGATTATATATTGTTTTCAAAGATTCATGGGGGAGAGATCAAATGTGGGGGGGAAATCACTTTTTAGTATGAATAAGATATAAGTTTCAGTTTGCATGCAAAACACACACACACACACACCCACCCACCCACACACACACACGAAAACTGAAAAGAGGAGAGGATTATGTGAACAATTTCTACCTCAAAGGTACCTCCAGTCATTTTCTGTATATAATTACAGTTTTTTTTATCATTTTGTAAATGTTACAAAGAGGTAGACATCCTTGTCTGCAGTGTTGTTATGACTTAACCAGTTCCTTTAATTACATGTTCATCATTTTTTTAGCTGCAACTGCACATTGATGGAGGGCAATGCAACCATGGATAACAGATGCAGTCTAGGTAAGCAGCTTCAACCAATACTCCTATTTACATGTAAAATATGTACACACTAACAAACTGCTGGCTTCACAATGAAGACATGCATCTGACTGTCTTCCTGTTTACTTTGATGTCTGTCTTTCCCTCTACCTACAGTGTCTGTCGGCCTTTTCATCTGTCTGTCTTTATGTATGTATGTATGTATGTATGTATGTATGTCCCAATAGATTCCACTGCACTGTGTACTTTTCATAAACAGAAAAATCAGTTGGGGTTAACTATACTTTTGAGCATCTGCTTTCAATAACAAATCAGTGCCTTACATTAACATGCATGTCTCTCTAAAGTGATAAAAAAATCAGAGCTATTTTTTAAAAAGTTGATATCACATTATGACATAATATATGAAGAAACTGTACAGGTTACTCAATATCCAGTCTTATTTTATGCTATTAAAAGTTTTTTAAAAGCTATTACTAGACTTGCTCTATAACCATGACAACCCTAACAATTATATAATTATACTAAGTCCATGTGTAGATTAAGAAACTCTATTCATGATCCTAGGACCTATATGTATGCTGTTTATCAGTATAGTAAGCATGTGGAACAAATTCTCATTTTCAGATGTTTCTCTCTGCAATGATGCTTATGTCACTGCGGGTGCACCCACCGAATTATCTTCTGTGGATAGGGATTTGATAGTGGCCCTAGTGGTTGTTGGGGTAACTGTTATAGTTATTGTAGGAGCTGCACTGCTTTTGGTGTTTTTGGTCAAAAAGGGATATGTCACATGCCCCTGTGAGATAAGAAGACCTAAGATTAATCCCAATGACCAAATAGACATTGAAGATGCCAGACAATCAGGTAATGTTTCAGCTTAGTAAGAAATTTGATTAATATATCATTTTAATGTCATATTATAAATTATATTGTATGGTGTCGTATCAAACCATATGGTATAATTAATTTTATTATGTATCAAGTCATATCATATTGACATTTTTTTTAAAATGCATTATACCGCATCATAAAGATTCAGTTATTTTAAACCATAATAACATGGTGTAATTTATTTAAAGCATGTGAGTAGATTGAATATTAAATGGTAGCAGCTTCACCATATTCATATGTTTTGGTAAAACAAATCAAGTTGGTGACATCCTTTTAGCATATGCTTGATTTTGTCTTGTAGATGATGTTGTAGATGATGTTGGGCCCACCTCAGGCAAGTGATATCTTCAGAAGATTGCTTTTCTATACTCAGTATATGCTCCTGGTGGTTATGCAATTGTTTGGACTCTCTCTCGTTCTCTCTCTCTCTCCGACCTCCCTCCCTCTCTCTCTCTCTCTCTCTCTCTCTCTCTCTCTGTATGTGTGTTTCATTTACATGCACACTATGATTTTATTTGAAGTATGTTGGGTTTGAAATGGTTTTATTTATTTTTTTTTAGGACTTACACTTTAATTTGGTTTGGGAACAAATCAATCTGCAGGTTTTTTGGAATAGCACTGAAATTTCACATCAGGCAGTATTACTTTTGTCTCTTTTTTCAGAGATTCCACGTGCGAACTCTTCAGACTCACTGGCCAGCAGTACTGACAGTGTCAATGGCAAAGCGCCCATCCCAGTGAGTGACCAGTCCCAAGGACCCCACCCCAGCATGACCAGTGACCAATCCAAGCAGGACGGGTACGAGTCCCAGCCATCCTTAGCCAACAATGAGAACCCGCACTCGCAGACTCTACACAAAGATCTTACCAGCATCAACAGTGCACGAGCCTCTACTTCGAGAACAGAGGATGTTGGGCCAATTGAAAGCATGAGCCTGACCATCATTCAATCCAGGCAGGAAAGCTATGACTCCGAGGCCCAGCCATTCTTTACCAATGATGAGGACCCGGACTCACAGACTGTACACAGAGATCTTGCCAGCATCAACAGTGCACCAAGCTCTACTACGAGAACAGAGGATGTTCGGCCAAATGGAAGCATGAACATGACCATCAACCAATCCAGGCAGGAAAGCTACGAGTCTGAGTCCCAGCCATTCTCAGCCGACAATATGGACCTGAATTCACAGACTCCACGAAAAGATCTCGCCAGCATCAACACTGCACCTGCCTCTACTGGGAGAAAAGAGGCTTTTCAACCAAATGGAAGCATACCGGTTAACGAGAATGCCAGTTTTAACAGACAGCATCCAGAGAATGATTTCAGTACCACCTGTGAAGGGGAACAGCCTTCCTCTACAAGAGTGGAGCTTGAACCAGTGAATGCATACACCAGTGTGCGCTTAGACAGCTTTAAATGAAGATCAATATTTATGATAATCAAGATATAAGATGCCCCTCCCACTCACCACCCCCTATCCTCCTTTAGCTTCGGGATGTCCTTTTTTATCATTATTTGTATTAAGAGTTTGTCTTAAAGGTATGGTATCCATGTTCTGCAATTTCCCAAAGGCATAATTTAGACGTCTGCATATCCTGTGGAGGAACATACTTATCGTTGCCAATTCATACTTAAAAATGATAAAATCACTCATTCACATTACAAATAAACTACCTGATCTAAATAAATGGCCAGACATATAGAACAAATTGTTTAAGCATTTAAAATGGTATAAAATATTCAATTGGAGGGAAGTGCAATGAATCAGGGCTAGGAGAAAATTGCTTCTATTTTGAGAATTTAATGTTGCAGAATCTAGGGTAGGATGCTTATAATTAAAGATGATAAAATTGCTAATATATCTGTGTTGGCCTAGGAATTCCTCAGGAAAAATGATTAGGCCAGCGTAATCCCTTTGAATGTGAATGAAGATTAGCAAATCAGGACTTTTTTTATTTACACATGATTGTCAGGCAGTATTAATGGCCAGTTTTAAACAAGAATGAAAGAATGACATTGAATATTCTGAGTCAGTTTGAGCTAAGACAGATCAGTATTGCTCCACAGATACCACTCCACTGAAGCAAATGGATCTGTTTTAAGAAAGAAACAAAATGTCAAAATTACCAGAACAAAAATCTACTTCATTTTAGATGATATAATTATCCTGTTTACTTTGATTTATCTTTATTATATAGTGAGAAGTTTTTATAACCTCGGTGTGATGGTGATGAAAATATTGTATTACGTGTAAAGTGAAAGCATTATTTAATGTGTATGTCAGTGACAGAGCTTAGTTATATAATTTTTAAACAGTGTGGCAGTGTAGTCTCAAACCTGGATGACAACTAGAACTCAATACCCAGACCCTATCATACTAATTGTGCATTGATCTATCTCCGAGGGAATTATTGCTAAATTGCAATCAACTTAAGCAGCTTAGATGTCTGTCACTCCTACTGAAGCTGTTAGGGGGTTATTAACTATCATTAAACAGCTTTAGTAGGCATGCCAGACATCTAAGCCTCTTAAGCTGAAAGCATTTTAGCAAGAAACCCCTTGGAGATAGATCGATCCTGTTAGATGAATGGGAACCCAGTCCTAGATGACAGTAAGGGGAAATATTTCTTCCTTTCAACTATGACACGTTCTTGAATTTGTTACATTTATTATTATTATTATTATTTTTTTTTTTATATGCTGGAGTGTATTTTGACAGGGCTAAAACTGAAAATGCTACTGGTTTAATACACACTGCACCTCCAAATTTCTGGTCGTAAAAATTTGAGCTACGTTTCCCTCCAATCCATTAAGCACAAAAAGTAAGCAAAATTAAAAAATGTGCAAATATTATTTTTCCGAAAATTGTGTAAAGAAACTGATATTTTTATGTTGTACATTTTGAAACACACATGGCATTTGGTCATGGATTTTTGCATTCATTGATGTGTTGATTAACCCACTTCAAGTACATCTTTAAGAAAAGTGCAGAGCACTTCACACTAACAAATCCCAAACAATTAAATATAGACCTTTCAGATGTAATGCAGTGTCATTTTAAAATGTGTCAAAACAACTTCGGTTTATGTGCGTTTTATGAGTATTTTTATATTGGGCAGTGGATGTTAATATGAAGGACTACATAATTATTGTAATATATCCCTTAGTAAGCCATTAGGTTTGGTTTTCGCATCCACAACCAGGGGTACTTGTTGATTTTTCACTAAATACTCAATGATATGTCTTTGGCTAATTATGTGCACTTTTTTGTACTGTTTAACAGCAGAGAGTTTTGTCATGAATTATCCAGACACATATCTGAGAATATTTAGTGAAAAGCCATATTGAAGATGTGATCCTGGTAGAGTGTAAGTTTTTTCCAAAGACGTGCCATTATTTGTAAGGAAGAATTATTCACACGTTTCTGGGTTAAAATTTTCTAGGTAGGGCAGTGACTCTATCTTTTAGTGGGGAAAATAGTGAGTTTTACAGACACTGTTTTTTTAAAGTCAAATTCTTGAAATAAGAAAATGTGTATTGATTAGTTGCAACTAAACTGAAATATACCTTATAGGTATATTCTAAACAAATATAAAGCACCACAAATGTTACAAAGAGATATATTTCTAATGAATCAGATTTTAAAATTATGAATTGGAAAAAAAAACTGATAATTTTCCCCACTGAAAAAGTAGAGTCATTATTGTAATATTTCCCAACCCGTGGACTGTCAACATATCACCTACTTACGGTGTAGCACAGTTTGTGACAAGAACCATTCACAAGGGTGGGCAGTCATAGCAAACAGATTGCCTTATTTTTGTATGATAGAAAGGTTCATTTTCTCCGTCAAAAATTAATAGCAATTCAAGATGTTATTAGTAGAATTATCTTTGAGCAGCAAGTTTTGAGTGCTTAATTCCACTACAGTCTTTTTCAGTGCTATTTTCACTTGTTCCATCCTATAAAATCATTATAACTACTTCAACTTCCAGTTACTGTAGTAGTGAAACAAGGACAATAGCACTGAGAAAGACTGCAGAACAGTAGAAGTCAAAGATTCCACCTCTAAGGTAATTTTAACATATTTGGATGGAGAAAATGAACTTTTTATATGAGCATAGCAGTACGTAATCCATCCTAATACATGCATTCTGAAATTTGTTTGATATTTGTCTCATTACTGATTATGCCTGTGATATTACTGAAAACAGCAGACTCTTGCTATGATAAATCACTCCTTGTGGAAAGTCACTCCTTACAAAATGTGCCTCACCCAACAGGTCTAATGCAGTTTTCAGTGGGAAAAATTATTAACTTTTACAGATACTGTGTACTTTTAGAGTGCGTTCAGAACAGCAGACTAACAGATCCACAGGTCAAATATGGCGACTGACTTTAAAGCTTGCGGCTTTATTCCTGATCAGATACCCAATAGATCTCCTGCAAGGATAATGCAACAAGCATTCAAGTGGGTCAGCCATATTTAATCCACAGGTCTGTTAGACCGCATTCACAACAACTTGAGCCAGGCTTTACAAATCCTGGGGACTAAATATGGCGGACGTACATGAAAGAAAAACCGCCTAATCTTTTAATTGTCTCTCCGCCTCTCATACGCCTCCTCATGTGTAGTCCCAATGGAGCCAAGATATAATGACTGTACCCCTGCAGGGACGACGGGTGGAGAGGCGTGTGAGATGGGGAGAGACTATTAAAAAGATTAGGCGGTTTTTCTTTCATGTACGTCCCCCATATTTAGTCCCCAGGATTTGTAAAGCCTGGCTCAATTCGTTATGAATGCGGTCTTAATCTGCTGTTCTTACTGGGCTCTCAGTCATAAATGCTTGAAATTAGAACATTCCTTGTAAGCAATTAAGCTGGTTACCCTGTAGTTCTTTTCTATACAGTAATTTCATGCTAAATAGAAATATGGTTTTTAATCATTCCAACATAATATATCTGAAAGATTGATAATTTTCCCCATTGAAAAGGTCGAGTCATTACTGTAAATTAATTGTTGTTAAGTTTGAGTACTTTTAAAATAGATATATATAGTTAAATATGGTCCAAGAAACAGTTTTTCTCCACATATCAAAACTAAATAAGGGACTCTTCTCTTCTGTGAAAGAGAAATGTTTCATATCAATTGCATTGCCTGAAGAGGGTGCTAGTGCAAGCTCATAAATGTTAGGGAAACAATCTGAAGAAAGAAATGACTGTAATGTTTTTGAGACTGAATGAGTACATATTTTCAAATGGATATTGTCTTATTTTTACTTAAGTTAATTTTTATTGTTAAGGAACGTTTATATTTATTATATAAGTGATTGAAAAAAGTATTGTTATAATTTTTCTCTTGTCAAAAGATAAATTAAATTTTTTATGCATTTAGTTATTGGCAGTATACTTGCATGTATTCTCCACCGTATAGTAAATGTGATCTGATTTACAATGATGTCTGCTTTTGCTGCTTAACAAGTTAATTTGGTCATTAAAACTGCACTTTTTATTTACAATTTAAAATGCTTAATTTAATCTTTTTGAAGTGATTGTTGAATTATTTACCTTTTAATTAACATTAAAGTGTGTTTGTATGTATGTGTTTTAAATCAGATTCTTGTGCAGTGCTCTTATTTACATGATTGTGCACTAAAATATATCTTAAACTCTTGCACATATATTATTCAATATTATATTACACAATTATTTTACACAATATTATATTATATTATATTATATTATATTATATTATATTTCTACACATCAAGTAAGGACAAATTTTATTGTTGGAGTAGCAGAACACATTAGCTTGTGTGTCATGGTCTGAGGGGATCCGAAAAATCCTTTTCACATTTGGCCATAGAGATGTGTGGCTTAGCCAGTCATCTCCAAAAAACTTCACCACAATTTTCAAACAAAGACAAACTGACCACTTTACCCAAATATGCAGTAGCAAACTTCAAGCCAACAGTAAATTGTCTCTCTTCCGTATACTTAACCAAAAGTTTGAAAGGGCAACTTATGTTGATAAAATAACAAATTACGACACCTTATCAACCCTTGCTAAACTACGTCTTAGTGACCATAAACTCCACATCGAAACTGGGCGGCACACTAGGCCAAGGTGCGACAGAATCTGTCACCTGTGCACCCAAGGGGTAATTGAAGATGAATACCATTTTATATTCCAATGCCCAATGTACAAAGCAGACCGAGTCACCTTTTTTAGTAAAACCTCAATCCTAAAAGCTGATACAAGGTCACCAGACAGTCAATTATGCCATGTATTTAACAGTGCCAACAAAGATACTTTAGTGTCCCTCTCCAACTTTATAATCAAATCATTCAAGAAAAGAAGTGAAGTGGTTGCTCTGCTTGGTAACTCTTAGCATATCCCTTAAAATGTCAATGTATGGTCCCACTGTTATGAGAAGTGACTCTTCAGTGGGACTGAACATGGCACAATATTTATATCTGTGTAACTTATTTACTTATCTGTCTTATGTAATTGTCATTAATCGTTATTATCTATGTCATCAAACTGGCTTTAAACAGCCATGTAAACAGCTATGTAACTGTGGTTTTAAGTTTAAACATATCCTTTTGTGTAACATGTTTATAGTATGTTTATGATAAATTTGCAATCACACCAAGGTTTATCTCATTGCTTAGATAGAATATTTTATGAGTAATTTTACTAGTACATATGTTCATTATATAAAGATTATTTTTTCATCCACAAATGGCTAGTTAACATAATACCAACTAGAGAAATGGTAATGCACTAATTGTATTGTACAAGGTCATGACAATCTATGTACCAGTACAGAAATGAATTGAATTGAATTGAATTAATAAAGTTTACTAATCTGTTACCCAGGAAAGGAAGTCGAGCGTCCCATTTGATTATTACAGGTTAGGACTAGTCAGAGTATCACGATTATAAGTATATGGGATGATTAACACATGAACAAGGTAATGGGGAATAGACAACAGTTTCTATAGTAGACTACCATTTGTGTCACACTGGAGTAATGTAACAAAGAGTCAGTTTCCCCATCCATTTGTACAGGTAAGCCGGGCCCTAGATTTTGACCCACTTAGGCCAGGCTAACCCTAACCATTATAAGTAAATAGAGGGCAGACTTAGTGTTACACGGACCCTCAGTTTTGTTACAGTTCAGTTAAAGATTTTTAGAAATGTATTTGTGTGAGATGTGACCCATAATGTACAAAGTATTAACAAAGTAGAGGTATTCACAAAATAAAACAAAATGTCAGTTTTTGCCTTGATTTAAATAAAAGTATAATGGAACCGTTTGCTCTACTGTTTTTTTTTTTTTTTTTTTTTTTTTTTTTCAATAATAATAATTCAAATAAAAAGCTGTCATATTCATTTTCCAGTCATATGTTTCTAACAGTATTCCTTTTGTAAAAGGAATATAGCCTAAAAGCTATATCCGGGATGTCCAATGTTGCTAGTTATTAATGTTATCATCATTTTGTTTTTTTATTTTATTTATTTGTTTTATAAGTTTTGCAAGCATCTTCAGCCCAAAAAAACAAAAGTAACAAAAACAGATAAGAACTTAGAAAAGCACTTGGAGAATTCAGTCCTCCGTCAAGCCAGCTCAATTCTTATTGTTAAAGGGATAATATCTCTTCGTATAAGATCTATATTTCACAATAAAGACATTGTATACAACTCACAGAAATATAAAATATTATGTTTTACCACAGAAACGGTAGTTAAAGCTATTATTCTGATATCTGAGCTTATCATTAGTTCACGAGACCTCCACTGATGGCTATACTCTGCTATAATCTCTTAAGAGATTATTAAAAAAAACTTTAAAGAAAAAAAAGGGACTAACTTTAAATGTAAAAATGGATTCATTAACCATAACCATATGGGAAAATTGTTGTTTATTCCAGGAAATTTCATTTTTGGCCCAAACGAAGAGTTATTATCCCTTTAATCAATCAACTAACAGACAAACAGATAGTGTAATGTGATTTTAATTAAAATAGATTGACGATACTACATGTTTAACTGCTGCGTTTTTTAAAATAGCAGTTAAAAATCTGCTCAGCTGAATGCAGTGGAACGTGAGTTACTGGGCTCATGGTCAGTAATAAGACTATCCAGTCTTTGTTTCCTTGGCTTTCTCCACAGTGACGAAATTAAAGAAGATTTTGGTAGCCGTTTTTTTTTTTTCTTTTTTTTTCTTCATATTATTATTATTAGCTTTATTAAAAGTTTGTCTCACTTCAAAACACATCAACGTTGGAAAACACGTATAGAAACCGGTGCATGTGCAATAAATGTCCACACAGTGAATTTTTGGCTTGGATTTTTTTTATTAGAAACGTAGATACCCAAAACGGGTCACAGCTTGTTATTTTTTAATGACTTAAATAGGGGGCCGTAGCGATAGTCCGAAGGTTCAATAGTCCGAAGGTTCATTGGTCCGAATGTTCACTATAGAACCTTCGGACCAATGAACCCTTGACTAAAAAATCGATGAAAATGTTACCACTTTTCGGACCAATGAACCTTCGGACCAATGAACCTTCGGACTATCGAGACGCCCCCCAGCAGGGGCTTTAATAGACGTAGGGCCTACAGGTCTACTGTGCGCTGGCGTTTATTTATTTATTTATTTATTTATTTATTTATTATTATTATTTTTTAATGTCCAATGGATATTCTGTGATATAGCCCAACGCGCAAATTCTGAGTATAGACATCTACATCGACTGGCTTCATATAGGGGAGAGCGGGGTTGGTTGGAACAGTTTTCACCTTTTTGGCGATATCTCAGCAGTCAAAGCTTTGGGGACAAAAATAAAAAATCTGATAGGGGAAAATTATATGCCGCACTCATCTATGAAATAAAACATCAAGTAGGTCTTTTAATTTTAGAGTAATAAATGCTCAAAGTTGCCTCCTAAAACGTTCCATCTCACCCCACCCGCGGGGTAAGTTGGAACAGGCAGTGGGGTGAGTTGGAACAAGAGGGCGACTTGGAACGCTTGCATGTAAATTCAAAGTATAATTCATTTTAAGAGTAGGTTTATCTATATTAATTTCCCAACAAGTGCGTGTTACTTTGTATTCGTATCTCCATAGTTTGTAGGCATTTTTTACGTTTACAATTTGCTTTCAAATAGTCTTTCCGATGTATAAACCATATCCAGTTACACGTCATTTCATAATGATAACAAAAATGGTGTAGTTTAAGAGAAAAGAAATTGAACTCACATAACTCAACCTATCAATAACAGTATGTTAGACCTACAAATGAAAACTGTATCTCTTTCAACTCAACAACTCAGAATCAAAATCGCAGTTCTGACATACTCAGTATGTACACTTGGTCAGCTATTTAGGTCCAAGGTCAGCCTTAGTACAGTTTTCATGTGACCACTTTAGACAAACAATGCATTTAACCCATTTCTCTTTTGGTCGGCTGTTAATGAACGGCTCCCCACAAACCAGAGATGGCCACTCTTCTTCTGATCAGAATCGTTGGTCATCTTTAATTTCCTTTTTCTTGATTTTCTCTATCGACTAGAAATCTTTAACTGTTTTTTATTTTTGTTGCGCTTGTCCTTTTTAATTTTGTTGGGCTTGGCCTTTTCTTTTTCGAGTAACTCATTTTCAGGTGTGTCAGTTAGTACTGCACTGCATCGTTTTCTTCTTTTAATCTTTGGACTGCGACGGTAACCCTTTGGAACCGGTCTAATTATTGCTGGACTTGAGCTGTTTTGGGCTTTTCTTAAGTGCGCTTTAGACCCCATTTCCAGAGATTAGATCGATCTACTTTAGATCGACCTAACTCCCTGGGGGTTCACGCTAAATAGCTGTCAGCCGAGCGGACACCAAAGTTAATTACCCCCTTACAGCTTGTAGTAGGCGGGACGGACATTTAAGCCGGATTATCTGACAGTAATCTAGTGACAGTAATCTAGATCGATCTAAAAGCTCTGGGAATACAGCCTTAGTGTGCTGTAGCACCTCTTCCGGTGAGGGCAACTGAGATTTCAACTGAATCTATGCCTAAGTTACGAGGCGAATGTTTGTCTTTTCTGGCGGATTTTGTGCCCTCGTTCACTAAACATTAACAGCAACCCCTAACCCATTACACAAAGCATCTAAAACAATATCGGCAGAATTGTTGTTGTATAGTTTATCCATAACATAGGCTCTCAGCTAGAATATTTTCATTTTGCCGCGAAAAGCGGAGTAATAATCGACATTTCCTTCCACATCTAAAAGCAATTTATCGCAAAAAGCAACAGTGGACATGCAGACAATTTTCGACCAAACAGCTAGCAACTGCATTTAACAAGCAGTGACCATCCCCCCTTGTATCTTCTACACGCATGTAGATTCCGGCATTTTGGAGATGTTCTATCAGCTAGATTTCGTCTCCAGTTGGAGTTGTACTGGGTTACTACGTTACTACTCTCTTCAAACTTGAAATTAAAACTTTTANAAAAATATTCATGCGGAGACTTATATATTACGTCCTATCCATGGAGAAAGGGTTTACATTTATCGATACGAAACACTTCCGGGTTATTCAGTAGGCCTATACCCTGGAGAGTTGATGACATGGTGCGTGATGACACTGGTGTTACTGTTCCCAGCAACAAACACATAACTCTTTGATAACGTTACCACATTGTTACATAATTATAATTTAAAAAAAATACGTTATGGTAACGTTATGTAAATGGCGATATGTGTTTGGTGGGTGGTTTGGACACTGGTGACAACACTGAGTAGGCTATATGTACATTGCAGTAGAGACGAGTAGGCGTATTCAGTCACAACAGTCACACCAGTGTTTGTCACCAAATTTCCAGGCTTACTCATGAATGAATATAATATTAACTAGATAACGATAGTGCTAGATTATGACTTTCTGAACAAGAGTGAAATGTGCGTTATTGTAAAATATGTAATATAGGCCTTAGTGTACCGACAATGTCTTAGAGACAGCGGCAGCACGTGACCAGACGGTGCACGTGATCAGTCTTTTATTATTATTATTATTTTTGTTTTTTTACGCATAAACGCAAGTTGCGAAGTAAAACTTAAAAGCCATAATCCCGAGGTAAATAAAGCTGTACTTACTGTAGTAACCGTTACACATGTATAGAGAATTTATGTTTGTTTGTTTTATCTTTTTTCGTCATTTATCTAATAAATTTAGAAAGATATAGATTATCACTAGCCATGTGACCATATTTTCTCCATTAGGAACATAGTTAAAGTGATAAGTACACAGAATATAGAAAGAGCCAGGGTTAAAGTAACTTCTTCGAGTCGCTGCATATTCTGTACATAATAAAACATAAAGAACATGAGTGTGAATTGTTTAAGTTTCAGGGACGTGCAGAGATTCGCGGCCCGTGCGGCCCTCCACTGGCTCGAACACTCCGCTTAAGACTATATAGTCGGAGATAGATCGAAACGGCCACCCTTTCATGGCTTCAAACAACAATGAAAAAATATCCTTCAAGGCAAGTCTTGTTCGAACAGAAATTTGAATCTCTAAGCAATAATTTATGGACATTTCGACAGTGTTGAAAACCTATGTTTATCGAGAATCCCACTATGCTATGGTATATCCGAGTGGTAAAATAGTATAGAATGGTTAAATAAACATGTTTTATTCTCTTCTTTCAATTTATTTAATGTTTCAATTTTTGATCTTTATCGGATGAGTTAAATATATCTCGCCCCAAACTTTTTTGTAACAGAAATATTTAGATTTCTGAGCAAAGGCATATTTTCATAATAATTATAACTTTATAAGTATCTTTCAATCACTTTATCATTAATCATCTTATATAATTATTTATCAGATATCCATATTTTAAATTTATTTATTTCTTAATTTGTTTGTGCATACATTTACATATTGGACTATGGAATCAATTAATTTGTTTATTAATTTTAGGGTTTTATTTTGGCTATCACGGTGTTCTCTGTGACCGTTTTTGGGGTAGGCGGCCTACAGTGTGAAAATGGCTTCGTGGTGGCGAACAGTATAAAACGGATCGGGGATGAAATAACCATGATACAAGTTTGCTGTCAAGATATAACTTGTGGTCCAGGTAGGGCAACCTGAGTCTCATACCATCTGCACGCCAAAATCTACCAGGGTCATTTATTAAAACCAATTTTGTAACCCTTTACCAAGGAGTCTGTTATAACTCCTTGCCTTTACCAATAGGGGCGGATTTAGAGGGGGTCAGGGGAGAGGTTCTGAATCCCAGCCCTTCGATTTCTGAAAAAAAAATCAAACCAATGGTCACCTCTTGAAATTGAAATTTTGACTAGCTGAATCATAGATCTAAACCCTACCAAATGGCATCGTTCGCCCTCTAAATTACCAAACATTTTCCTGGCCTCAAACCCCACTCCAAGGGGGTGGTGGTGGGGTGGGGGGAAGGGTCGGCTTCGCATCCGCGGACCCTATTCCTTTAAAAAATCCTGGATCCGCCCCTGTTCAAGGCACTGTCTGATTTTTAACTAGATATTCAGCGGTGTCACCCAATACCAAAATGACACCCTAATATTATTTTATAGACATCAATTTTTTTTTCGATTTTGCTCCCCAGATTCACAGATATTTTCCTAGCTTATTCAGAGCACTTTAAATTGAGAAGCTTTGCACATTATTACTCAGTTGCCCGATTTAAACAGCTAGACGGGCCTCAGATAGAGCAACGAGAAGATTTATTTTTTTCTCAGTTTACTTTTTTTCCTTTTCCTGGTAAAACAGTTTATAAATGAATTTGGTTATTTTCTCTAATTAAAATATTTCTTAGTTTAGTCATAGATTAGCCTACAGCCATAAATTCATCATACTTTAACACAAATACCTCTCCCTTTTTTTCCAAATTGATCCCTCTCAAGACACCACAGGCAAATTATTGACTTGAACATTTTCATGAGGTTGATTAAATCGCATTCTCTTTTTTCTTTTTGTTTTTCTCCATACGTCAGTCTAAGCTTAAGCTTACTCATTTATTGAATTCCGTGAGTCATCAATAAAACTCGGCCCCACCTGTTGCATTCAAAGGCCCGTCATTGATATTCGATGTAATGGACTGATTATTTCCGGTAAAACTACATGAAGTCCAATTTAATAAATTGGCCGCCCCATGGCTTAAAGCTTGTAAATATGTTTGTTTTCGGGGCAGGAGGCAGATGCCTGTGACGATATTTAAACAATTACCAAATGATCCCTACACGGCTTAAAGCTTGAGAATATTTTCCTTTTCGGGACAGAAAGCAGCTGCCTGTGGCGATATTTACCAATAAACAAAATTACATGAAGTTAAATTTAAGAAAAATGCTCCCTCCACTGCTTAAAGCTTGTGAATATTTTTGCTTTCAGGAGAGAAGGCAGTGGCCTGTGAGGAGGGCAACCCGTATTCCTCAGCATGTGACCCATGTGAGACGGGCACAAGGCAGGAGACCAGGACTTCACTGTCAACGGGCAGTACGAGCTGCGAACTGAAGTAATATTTTTTCATAAATTTTGGATGTCTTTTTACTTAGTCTTACTTTTAATATGAAAAAAAAATCCATTTTAATACTGAAGTCGATCATTTATGAGAGAACATTAAAAAAAAAAAGAAAAGAAAAACAATAATTTGAATCGATCATTTATGTTTTGTGTTTGAATTATTTATATGTTGCCCTGCTATGCACCTGTGTTTAATCTATAAACACTACGCAGTTGGTAAAACAAGTTTATTGCCTTGTTAGATTTGTATGGTTTTTTTAATTGATTTACTAGCAGGCCTTATGTTTATATTCTAACTATTTATACTAGCAGATCAAGTGAAGTTTGATCTCATGCGATTAGAAACTAAA